CCGAGGTCAATCTAATTCTAGTATTAGTAGAGCCCACGTTCCCATTTAATTTCACACAACCTCGCTTTCCCAAAAGGTGTTCTGATCTAAGAAGGACTGCAGTTTCAACTATCTTATAGGTCTTATTAACACCCCTAGCGGAGCTCGAACCATGACAGTACAGCGTATGATCTCGACACGCTGACCACTATACAGCATTGCTCCGATGTGAATTTAAAGGAAGGCCAGGCAATTTCCCATATCACAATTTGTGGTAGGATTCTCGATGAAGTAAAGTTGTATTTGTGATAGCTGCCCACTACGTTACTTATAAGTAGGTTTTCGAGACTCCCAATAGATCATTTATTGATGAAGTGTATCCATCCTATTTCGTTCAAGGTGACTGGTGCTTGAATTTTCTCACTGATACAAGTAGAGCTTATACACTGCATTGTTATGGTTTGAGTCCCTCTGGGGGTGTTTATAGGACCCATGTGGGGTATAAACTGCATGGGAAGCGTAAGCTCTGCTCACACCATTGTGGGAAAATTCGGCTACTTTATCACCTTAAACGAAATATATAAAAATGTCTTAATTTGTATTCTTTCGAGGTCACCCTCTGGCGTGTATGCCACCTTAATTATTTAAGCATGGGTGGCCTGTTTTCGTGTGTACAGAGTGGAAAACCGATGACACCGCAGGATTTGGGTGTTGTTGGTACCGATGCTGTTGAGCCTCGTAGTCTACTCCTTCGGAAAATCAGTGTAAACTACAAGTTTGTCCAACTGGAAATGTGTATTGAATTAGAGTTCCGTGTGGGCTGACTTAATTCCGGCTTCTTCGGGTGCAGGAGTGTCTGGCCTTAAACAGAAAGTTGCCAAATAATTGGAGATACCTTTGGAGTCCCACCTAATGGATACTTCGTTATCTTTTCAATATTTTATTCCTCACTCTTATCCCTTCCTTACGCATCGTTCCACTTGCCGTCCTGGTTCAGTCGCCCACCTCGTCATCAGGAAACGTGTCACCCATCGGGTTCTCTGTTGCGTCCAGTCCCCGGTTGTTGGCAATTTCGACCTCGGCCTCGGCCACGACTACAAGCGTCTGCAGTGTTGGCCCGCATCTTCTCCTTCTGCCCGCCGTGCCCGCTTCGTTGCCATCGGGTGGCAGGGTCGGCAATCGCGCCTTGCCAACCAGCTTTTTGATGGCCACCGAGTCGGCTCTTCCGCTTTCCGACGCCGCCAAGCCATCCGGCTCCACCAGTCCCCGTGTCCTATCTTCGTCAGCTGCTCCCGTGGCTCTCGTCAACTATTCTGGTCCCCGTGTTGACGCCGCCTTGCTCGGCCAGCCTCCGGTTCCACTTCTCTCCGCAACCGAGCTGGCTCCCTCAACGCTATCCGGCTCGTCTGCCCGGCCGGCCGCTCCGACTGTCGTCCTGTCGCCGCTCTTCAGGCACCCCAGCGACTGCCTTCCGGGGACGTCTGCCTCTGTACCTACTCTTCCGGGGCTCGAGGGGAGCAGTCGGGCTCCACTTGCTCAAGAGCCCTCCGACCACGTCGGCCACACTCGCCACACCCACCATGCCACGGTCAGTTGTGCCAGGGATACTTGGACCAACGGAGCCCAACGCATATCTGGACCAGGGGTTGCTTCTTCTACACAATGGCTTCTGACGACCTGTGACGTGGTTTCGGCGTCGCTGGTTGGCCCAAGTGATGAGCAGCACAGGAAGCCTCCTCATGCCAATGAGGGCTTGCCCGACGTCGAGAACGACGGAAAAGGAAACCCTTCAAAACAGGTTGTCACCCATTAGCCTGTGATTTCCGTCTATTTCTAGGGCGTCATATGTTTAGGGGAAAGATCGTGTTTGCCTGCAGGCATAGTGGCTAGGACAGGTTAAGGAGACAGATAAAACCGTGAGACTTCTTTTTTCATTTCGCTAGTTCCCCGTTGTTTGACGTGTAACATATCTCCTGCAATTTCTACCTCGGCTAGCTCTCATCAGTAATACGGGCGGGACTCGAACCCGGTTAGTGGTAAGGCCTAGGCGGAGCCGAACCTGCAACTCAGTCTTGCTGGGAAGAGGACACATTTTGGGTAGCAGTGCCATGTAACATTTAATAGAGACGTAAGTTCTACTGATATCCTCGTGGAAAAATTCAACTACCAGTCCTTCCTCACCTTAAACGAAATAAGGTGAATACAGCCCTTAAATATACGATGATTATTTACTTTATCGTAAGCGCGTCAATGACGGGAACTAATCTCACATCTTTAGTTGTTGATTTCCATACTCCGAATTACACGTGACAGGATTCATCACGTGACATGATGGCTTTCTCAATATTCTATTCACTTCACGACACAATAACACAAGACTTTTTAGCTGCCTTCATCAACTCACTTCGATGGACCATAGCCTTCGGTCGAATATAGCAAGGAAAAGAAATAAACCACGTGTTGCAAAGAGAAGAAGGTTGGATGGAGACGAGGGGACTAATACCTATTAGTAGTCTGGCTTCTAATGAATCATTAGTCGTACTTACTTAGGCCTCCGTAAAAAAAGTTGGCTGTTGAGGGAAAAGCCATCTACTGGTACAACTGACACTATTGCTAATTAGAGGTGTTGCTTCACATTTTGCCTTACAACCAATCTTAGTGATGCTATTCGCTATGAATCAAGGTGAATTCTTTGTTTGACCATTGGATTTAACTCTATCCTGCTAGCAACAGAAGCCTCAAATATCTTTTTATGCTCATCGATCTTAGAATGGGACCTTTGAATTTGTACATTGCCAGACATTTCAAACCCTTTAGTTGGCATCTTCACTGAGGATCTCTGTAAACACCACCAAAACCACAATTTCCAAGCAGCAAACGAAGTCATCTTCGTAGAGTTCCATTTAAAATTCATGTTACTTCTTTCCGTTTCATTTTTTATCTCGCTCTCATTATTAATTAATACAGTCTGGAGATCTCACTATTCAGTCCACCTTTCTATATTCCATTTTGCTTTCTGCGATTGTAGATGTCCATGACACACAGGCTTTAATATACGAATACAACGCGTTTCGATGAATCTCCTTACGTTGTAAAGGCTTTATTTTCGTATGAAAGTGCATGATGAAAGGATTTGTTGGCGGATCTCACAAGAAGACGACGACAAATACCCGTTGTTCTGCAGCCGTTTGGTTTTAATACGAACTTCAGGTTTTCGCAATATATGAGACATTGTTCCGCGTTTCAAGTCAAAACGGGTTAAGCTTTCGCCCCTCATGCCACATGACGCAGGCTGCCAGTGCCAGAACTTGTTTCTGCAAAAGTTTCAAGTTAACACAAAGTCAAGAAGCAAGTGGCTTGAGGCTTTTGCAAGAATGAGTTCCAGCTCTAATGATGTCCGTCAAGTGGCATGACGGACGAAAATTCAGCCCGTTTCCACCCCAAATTAGAAAGGATGTTTCGTGGACTGCCCAACCTGAAGGTCGTATTAAAGCCAGACAGCTGCTGTACAACGTCTTTGATGATATTGACCTACG